AGCTCAAAACAGGAAGGAGCTACGAAGTGCACGAAGCAAGCTCAACCAGCACCTCGAACCTCTCAGACCTGACAACAGATAGGCCCAACAGCTGTTGTGAGTCTGTTGGTGGGTGCACTAGCTCTGCTTAAGGAGAAAGGCGCAAAACAAAGGGGAGGAGTTGTGAAAGGGCTGTAACTCTAGTACGGACATCTCTGGGAAGCTTCTGCATCACATTCATTGCGGCTGTTTCTTGCAAATAACTCTCAAGTGTATTTACACTCTTCAAGCGCATCAGCCATTGAATTTCACTGATTGCTGTACCCTGGTGATAGGCGAAAATTGCACCACCAGATCGCAAGGTACCCGGGGTTAATCCTATGGCAGCATCTATCTGAAGAGTGCTCAAAAGTACATCCCATCGCCGTCGATACGTCGACGGTGTTGTCGGGTAGAGGAAGTCATCGGGCAGGAGCGGTCCGAAAATTCTCTCTGCAGCTAACAATGTCAGCTCGTCGTTAATGCGAGTGTGTTGCACCACCCCTTTGCCTCTGTGACTTGTCTTAGACTTTGGGATGTTCAAATACACAGCTCTGACATCCGAGCCTGTTTCACTAGCGAGCAGCAGATCTTTTCGTCTTGCTCTCAAGGGCTCGCTGACACGTAGTTTTCCATGGAAGGCCAACAAAGTCAATGTTGCCCAACGCTTCCATCTCCATGTCCAGGCTAAACAGATCATGGCATCGAAAATTATCTTTGGCATGGGAGTGCGATGAACTACTGGCTGGACACGCTCCCATCTAGCTATCAGATCCCAGGCTTCTGCAAGTGGTCCAGGAAAAACATGGAAATGGCGTTGCCGGTAAAGATACAGAGGTTGTTGTGCTTCGAACAAAAATCGACCAAACGCTCTTAGCAACGGTGTCGCTAGTTCTGGCTGAGTCGAAAACACTTCCAGTAGCTCAGGCCCCAACACCCTGCCCAGCCAAGTGGCAAACAAAGAACGCGCTCGTTGCTGGATCGCCAACGTATGAGAGGAGAGCAGCTGCACATTCTCCAGATCCACTGCGGGTCTCGGGCGTGCAGGCCTGGGCCCAGGTTTCTTCGCCTCTCCAACTCGGGAGTTGCAGCGCGCGCACGCTGCCAAGTCCAGTTTGCGCTGCCGCTCAGGTGGCAGGCAATCATTGCTCAGGTACAGGGCCAGTGTGTTACACAGGCGGATGGGATAAGCTTCTGCAACCTTTGTCCAGGGCATCTTGTTTCGGGAGGAGTAGCCCTTTAACTGGATGTGGTTGATTGGCTTCTGACATGCGCACAACAGTTTGCAGCCCCACAGATAACTATTTGTCAGAAAAGAGGTCCTCTTTCGCCAAGGGGCTCCCCAGACGCAACAGTCAGTTGTGAAAAATCCCACTCGTTCATGGCTTGCTAGCTCTTTCCATTCTGGCTGATCCCAGAGAAACGACATCCACGGGTTCTCGATCAGGAAGATCACACCACACGAAAAGGCCAGCCAAACTAAAGCAGCTAGCCAAACTGAAAAAGCATTCCCATCATGAATCTTCCTCTTCATACTTTCAGTCACTGTTTCGAAACCTCGCGGTCGACTACGGCTTCGGACAGGAGGTCGGACTGCACGAGAGAAGGAAGAACACACAGGTCCAGCTGTCAAAATGTCAAAGCACTTTAACTTAACCAGCTTCTGTATTTCGCTTTGCACCAGGTCGTCCAACAAATCTTCGGCACTATCATGCAGGATGTCATAGGTGAGCACCCAACAATGGTGGTGCCGGGCTAAGGCTCTGGCTAGCCCTCGGCTTCCGGAAAATAGATCCAGCGCACCCCTGTAATGCAAGGCTTCTCGGCAGCGAGCGGCAGACCAATCTCTCGGAAAAACAAATTGGCTCAGCGGTAAGCTTCGGAGACGTTGTTCCGCTTCAACCTCCAGAACCGAGCTCCGATCAGCTCGCCAAAGTTCGGGCTGTGCAGCCTGCGGTTGATTTGCCATCTGTCTCGCCGCTGGTGACCCTCTACACGAAGCGTAAGCCGCGCGGCGGAGCTTTCTTTCCGAGATAAACCAAGGCGATGGCACATCTCCCTCAACAAATTCTGGAAGCCTAGCCAGCGTCGCTAGGTCAGCTTTGCTGTCGGCCAAATGTTCGTCCAGTAATTTGAAATCGCCTTCAAAAGCTGCTTGAAGCCATGCAGGTGCGGTTTCAACTGGGGCTCTGAGCGGAACATCTCTGGTCGGGTCATCTGACGGGTTGTCCCCGGAAGGTACATACTGCAAAAACGAGTAAATGTTGTACACTAACAATGTGGGCAGATGAGCTTTCAACAGTTCATTCAAACTGGAAGAAGAAGATCTACCTCGAACCAAAGCACCTAAAGCTACTTGAGAATCTGTGGCCATGTTGTTGCGCGAATCTGGCTCGCGCTCACCAATCATCCGTTCTGCTTGCAAACAACCGTTCAACTCACTGATGTTGATATGCTGACCGGTTGGCACTTGGTAACAAAAAAGCGGCTCGAACTGAACACTGCGACAGATCTGCCTCCAGACAGGATGAGCCCGAGCGGGTTCTTCTCCGTCTGGGACTTCGTCTTCAGGCGCCAGCAAACCTCGGCATTTCTGGTAGGTTTTCCAGGGCGATAGCAAGCGGCTCCATGCCGATCGAGTCATGGCATGTCGAGTCAGCTCTTGCACAAAGGGCTGAGGCAGCTCTGTGGAGACCCCTGCAACCTTGTGGTCCGATGCGTCAACGGCGAGGCAATGACTAGACGTCCTTGCTTGGAGGTCAGAACACATCAAAGGTGCCAAGGAGACCAGGGTCCAAAGCTCTGCCACTGTGTCCACATCTAATGCAAACAAGCAGTCATATTCATGGGAATGTATAGCTGAAAACAAAGCATCCAACAAACACATGAAGCGCTTGCGGCTCTGCATGATAGCGGTCCAGGCTCCTGCCAGAATTTGCAGCAGATGTCTGGTGGCAACTCCGACCTTGGCGACACGTGCAGTGATAAATGCCATCGGAATAACTCTGTCCAGCTGTGCTCTGACTAGGCATTCCGTGCCCTCAATGCTAATACCCCAGAATTGAGGATGCTTGTCTGCTCGGAATCGCTTAGATGAATTCGCCTGCAACCCAACTTCGGCATAGACTTTGACCATGGCGTCTGCTACTCGAGTCGAAGTGTAATTGCTAGGCTCGAGGGAGCGCGGTACCGCCTCCACAACAATGAAGTCGTCGATCACAAAGCCTGCAGCCCAGTGTTGGCGAGGAAACTGCCCCCTCAAGGTCATCAAATCCAACATCTTTGCAACTCCGTGCATGAGGCTAAGTCTGACATGGGCTTGCTGTCCAAACTCTACTGCATTGAGGTCTCCCATAGCCATTGTAGCCAACGCTGGGACCAACACAGGCGAAGTTCGATCAGCAGAGCGGTATGCGCCTCTGAATCTGCGAGCCTCGGCACGGGTGAGAGTCATCGCCAAAGCATTGCGGCGAGCTCGGACAGGGGAGATCAGGTAGTAGTAGTAATAATCTTTCAAATCCTCCCCTGAAGCCACAACGTGAAAACCTGGAGGTACATGAAGACCTAAAATAGGCATCAAAGCTCCCATGGTCTGAGTCCATTCATTGAGCCCTGGTTCTAGAAGATTGGCAGGTCGACAGTCGAGAATCAGCCGGTCGGTGGTCAAATTTTTCATCAGGGCGAACATTCCAGCTCGAAAGTCCATCCGGATCTGCACTGGCGAGAAAAGAGCCAATCGTCCAGTAGCGTCGAGAGCAGCTAGCAAGGCGAGGATTTCCTTACGAGCTCCTCGCACTTTGACAGCCGGAACATTCTCAACACACTCTTCTGGAAGGGTGGCATACTGCAAAGGGTCCTTGTAAAGGGACCGGGCCGGCTCGGCTAAGTATCGGTCAGGGTCAAAAGCAGGTCGGCCTCGAAAGTTGAGTCTGTGAGCCTCAATAGGCTTTGCAGCTTGGGCAGCCTCGACTTTGCTTCCTCCAGCCTCTTGCAACTGAGCCGCAAAAGAGGGTCCTTTACCAGACCCGCTGGAGGGGGATAAAGCAGCTGCTACCTTCTCGAGCTTGTGGATCATAGTCTCAAGGCTCTCAACTTTCCCTGCAGTGCGGCCCATGGTTTCTGCTGTAACATCAGCAAAGTCGAGCCATTCACCTGTCAATCGCCGAAGCCGCCTGAGAATGGCGGAGTGTTCTATTGTCAATGCAGATCGGGGAGACCAACGACTCGGCCATCTGTGCGGGCGAGAGAAATGGAGCCAATTCAAACATAGCACCATCACATTTGCACACCTCTGCCAAGCAGCTTGTTGTCTACTGGCATCGTCGACCTCTGGCGCCAAAACAAAGTAAGGCACTGGAATAGGCCACACCGGCCTAGGGGTCCGAGTGTCTTCCTCGGGAAAATGGCCCTGGAGTGCTGAATGAATGAAAGACCGGAGACTGCCACAAGATGATTGCAGTATCCAGCGCAAAAGTGAATTCCACAAAAGACGAGCATTGACCGTAGAGGCTTTGGCTCCAGGCGCAGTTGCGACAGGATCCATCACGGAGGTGTCGTTGTCTGCACTAGCCAGTTCTCTTTTCCAGCCAAACGATGAAGTGAAGTGTCAACGGAATCATCAATCTCTGCAGCTGCCAAGTCTTGGGCTCCTTCAGCCTCTGAAGCAGACAGCCGGAGATCGTGAATCGAGTTTCCCGGACCCAATAAAGCAGAGATCGAACCCTGTTGGCGGGTAGGATCCTGCTCTGACAAAGAGAAGGCGGGCACAGGCACACTCGATCCGCGATCAAAAGCTGCTGCAAGTGAGGCGCTTGGAGCCACAGTCACTGGGCTGCTGTTTCCCTCTCCCTCGCTCCCTCCCTGCCAGCCCCGCCCGATCCAGATCCTTTGCTGCCGGCTTTGCCTTTGTCGCGCGGCTGCTTCTTCGGAGAAGGTGATTTGGGGTCGGCTGGAGAAGGAGTCTCGGCTATCGGCTTGCGCCCCAACTTCTTCTTCTTCTCGATCAACTGATCTATCTCCGCCAGGTGATGAAGAAACAAGTCCATCCACCGAGCATCGACCAGCTTTGTCATCGGAGCTTCTATTTCCGACGGCAGCGTGTGGGTGGCGAAAACAGAAAAGGGAGGTGGATCCTCTAACGACATAGGAGCGGCCACTGTCCATGAACCCCTGTCGATGGAGAGCTGGTCGCCTTGGCACAACAAAAGACAGGCCCGAGCCCTGGCTTCTGATACCCGCTCGTCCCGCAAGCAGTCGAGAATACCTGCAATGCCCCACAGTAGTGTGACAGGGGTCCTGAAATTCTGGACCCGGCTGCGTGCCTCCAGCCAACCCCGGGCAGTGACTGACACGGTCTGGTTGCCCGGAAGGGATTGTCTGAGCTGGAAATCCTCGGCCATGTTCCTCTCGACTGTCTTGTAAATCTGCTGAGGGTCTGTCCTCAGGGCTCTTCTCAAAGCTCGGAGAGCAGCCGCGCTCTTGCGAGAAGAACTCCCGCTTGAGGCGTCCGAGGAAGCCTGAAAGCCAGCACCGTCTAGTAGGAAGTCGAGGGTATTCTCCTTCCGCTTCTGTCCTGCCAGATGTTGAGTAATCGTCGTCAATTTTGAAATGGCCGCCACCATAGGATCCACCTCCTGGCCTTCCCCCGTCTGTCCACCTGTGTCATCGGCTACCGGGACCTCATCCTCGCTCTCTGAGAGAGCATCCTTGCGAGGTTTGGAGCCTGTAGGCAAATCAGGCAGTTTCGGTTTCCCTACAGCTGCAACCTTTGCCATCTCTTCCAAATGCGAGCGGGAGACGCCAGCAGTCAATGCCGCTTGTACCACTGCTGGATCAAGGCCTGGGATCAGCACCCCAGGTGTAGTCGGCTGCGCAGGGCGCGCCTCACGCGGCTTGGGAGCAGCAGGGGTAGCTGGAGCGTCTCGCTTCAGCAACAGCGCCAGCTGGTCTTTGATGTCCCCTAAGGTGGACTCCAAAGCACCGACTCGAGCTTGCATCATCGGGTCTGTTCCCGACCCTTGAACAGCAGACTCGAAAGCCGAGGTAGAGGGCCTCAAAGCAAAATACTTCTCAGCGCTTTCAATCATCATAGGAGCAACTGGTAGCATCACTTCATCTTCATCAAAATAAATGTCAGCGGCAGGTTCACCCGTGGTGTCAAAGGAGATGGTCTCCTCATAATCTGTAGTTAGTAAACCAAGCCACAATCTTGAATTAAAGGTCTCTGCATCTAAGGACCGTGCTGTTGAAAAAGGAACCTCACAAGCGACAGCCTTAGTCATGAAACTGCTGGGAAGGCGACGCTTGGCCACCGTGCGATGCCAACTTGAAACCGGCACAGCAACAACGAAGCGGCCTGAGACCTCGCCAAGAACAATGATAGAAACCCGAAGGACGTCACCTGTAGCTGAGCTGACTTCGCAGATTCCCACAGGATAGTCGTTATCAGGTTGGTTTAATTCACCTGAGAGCACCGTGAACTGCCTCAACATGTCAGCCGAGGTCAGGGGTTGCCCGTCAGGGCTTGCATCCGCTTCTGCCTCGCCGGACATTGCAGCTATGCGGAGTCAGGCCAAGTGAGGCCCGCCCGCTGCACCGCTGCCTGCGCCTCCCAGCGAGTAGGGAAGCCCGCGAAGATCGACTCCCCGAGATAGTCCCCGTCTCGCACCAGGGGCTTGATAGCTGCAAATGAGGAGTACACACCAACTGGATCGTGCACTCGGCCTGAGATATCTCTCACACAGATGTATATGCGAGAGGGCAAATCCACCTGAGCTCAACCGGATGGCCCTCGATTGGTTCCTTCCAAGCTGCGTCGGAAAAATTCACCAACCCCTTCGGCCACCTGGCGCCGGAATGCGTCGGAGTAGTCACCGGCTTTCGGCCGTCCAGATTGGGACACGGTGGGAACCTCAGGCTGCTGCGAGGGGTAGGCGGAGCCCACGGGGAGTGCACTGTCGGCTGAATCGGCTTGCTGCTGCAAATAATTGATGGTCACAGGAACAACTGTAGATGGCGATCCCTCAGTGCGAGAGGGGCTGGAAGCCGCTCGCTCTAAAAAAGAAACCCGCTCTGTCAACTCTCGAATTTCCCGCTTCAACTCTTGCAGTTCGGAAGAGGGCAAAGAACTCATGCGATTCGGGCTCTTGCAATAGAGGAGTTGTGGACCCAAAATGATCGGGCCCTCAAGTTCAGATTCCAGACCGCTCGTAAGAGCACCAACCACTCGAATACCTGGCCCAAAATCAAGCCAAGCAGAACCCCGGCCACCAACGATGGCCAATGGAGCCGGATGTCCTCCGGCAAACAGGGAACCAGTGGAAAGGAGGGCTCCCTCAACAAGCTCGAAACCAGCGCCGCCGCGACACCGCCTGTCGCAGCAGAGGAGTGCACCAGGCTCATGCGATTTGAGCCGCGTGTGAGCTGCGGCCACAAAAACATTCGAAGCATATATAATGTATATATTACAATTAGATGGTCTGGATCAACATGACTACAGGCTACAGGCCCTAAAATAACTTTTGTGTCTGTGAGTTGCTGGTTCTCAATACCATCTTGGTGCAGGAGAAAAGAACCTCAAAAGTGGGCCACCCTAAAAATGACTGACTTCCAATGCCGGAAATCCCTGGTACATAGACAGTGAATTTCAACTTTCCACCTCTTGGTTTTTGAGTGGGGTGTCCTACTTCCCCCCCCAATCCAAGGTTCTCTCAGGTGTTTCTCCATAGGTAGGGACATCGGACTCCACCAACTAGGGTGTACACCCCTGAAGCTGTCCATGCAAATTCTTGGATCCACTCGTCTTTCGGGTCCTCTGTAGCGCGTAGGCTTGCAGAATGGGTTCCCGAATGAGCTCCCACTCGTCGCGGCGCACCACACATTGGTAACTCACCAGGCTCTCACCATCCAAGGTCTGGTAGGCATTGATGTGATACCCCAACCTAGAGACACAGATCATCACACATCCAGAATCCAAAAGCTGGGTCCCCTTGTACATCAAACATGGTCTTGAGAGTCTTGACCCCATCAAAGATCTCTAGCCCGCCAAACAACATTCAGGTATCTCCCGCCTTCTTGAAACCATCATCCAGGTGCACCGATTCATCTGCTGGTATGAAGACTGGGTACAAGTAACATCAAGTAACCACTGACTTCCAGGTATCCGGTTCGTCTTCCATGGAGATGAATCACCATCCGTGTTCTTTCTGCACTTTCTTCACCCTTAGCTTCACAAGCTTCACAGGAACCATGGAACCCGCGCCTGCCGAGGAAGACCTGCAAATAGGAGCTGAGTTGGAACTTTTGACTGTTCGGCTCCTCGGTTGGACCGGCTGCGAAAACGTCGGGGCCCTGCGCATCGACGACCCTTGAGCTGGCACCTTGCCCCACTGGACTCGTTGTGGGCACCATGGGCCTGTCTGGCCATTCTAGACCCTTAGCTTGGAACAGTCTTCACTGCTCACTCTTCACAGTTTGGTTGGATTCCTTTGGGTTTTTGAGTGATCGATTGGAGACAGCCAGAAAGAAAACACCCTGCAAACAAGCTCCTCACAACTAGACTAGACCAGGAAGCTCCTCACCCCCTCCGAAGGCGGGTATTTCTTCCCATGATGTGCTTTTGGAAAAAGCTTGGTTGTTCACTTCGTGGCATCCCCTCTATCAACCAACCACTTCAAAAGGCCATCTACCTATAAGTATGTCCAAAACTGCCCAGTCTCAGGAAACCTCTGCATGGACGTCCCGACGTCCACAGAACGGGCTAGGCATAACCAGCGAAGTCTGGGCTTTGCAACTGCCACATCTCTGTGTTCACGACTGGGGAAATCTCTGGCAAGAAAACCCGTTTCAACTGCAAGATTCAGGAAGTTTCTTGGGATATTCATCTAGCCATGTTGATGCGCGTCGATCGCACGCCCAGATCTCCCCCCCGGGAGCTCGGGGGGTCTCCACCGAGGCTCTTGGGGCTCATAGCGCACCCAGCGTCGGAGCCCATAGGGCTCCCCTGCATCGATCTCGGTGAGGCTGCTCCTGAGGCATGGAGCATCATGGTGCATCATGGAGCAGTCCAACATGTGACATGGATTGGCGCAGTGTCAGGTGATGGCAGTGAAGATCTCTAGGTAGAACTTGACATCCCAAAAATTGTCGGAGGCTTGGCTGGTGAAAAGAGAACTTGGGTTGCTGACTGCAGGGGTCATGGCATCTGCAGGTGCTGAAAACCAATCACCAAAACGGGGATTCAAGAGAAGACCCTTTGGTGTGTCATTCTCAGCCCCTACCACCACTGTCCCACCTAACAACAACAAGGCTACCTTCAACTAGGATCAACTAGGATTCTTTCGGCCATTTGGTTGCAACCCTCTGATAAAAACAAACAACAGCTAGCACTTTTTTGCCAACGCCCGCCACTGGCACAGCCACGTCAAATGAACGCGATGAGTGGGACGAACGGCCTTTAGTTTTGGTAGTGGCTTCGACAGCAGGGGCGGCGACTCGACCAAACTTTGGGAGATTGCGAAGTCTGGTGCGCTGAGAATGCATAGGAGAGTGCACCGAAAAAGCTCGTGATCAGGTTGGAGTTCAACTTCTCTGAGCATCCGGTGGTGGAGGAAACAGAATTTGATCGAACTCCAGCAGTGGTTGACGATGCTCTCGGGATGGAGTTGGCTACGTTAGCTGGAATTTTCTGGAATTATATAAATAGGCTTCCGGCATTGGGCATGCAACAATAATAATCAGGTTTCTTGGGATTGGACTAGTCTGGAAATGTGTTGTTTTTTATTGTTTTTTTGGTTCTGTTATATGTCTTATGTTCAGATGATGGCTAGGAGCATTGCAGACAAGACACTTGAAAGAGTTATGCAAGTATGAAGGGGCCCAAAATCCGCAACCCGCAACAGTCCTTTGTGAAAGCTATATATTGAATACTGTAGTTGTTTTCATGTTGTTTTCTACATGTTTTTCTTCTCCCCCTGTCTCTGTGTCTATTCCCTTACCGGGGGAGACACCGGTCAAGGAATCCGCTGAATTGTCCATAATTCCCTTCTTTGGCCCACATAATAAGGTTTGTGGGCCGAAGAAGGGGATTATGGACAAGTCAAACCTGATGCCAAGGTGAACCCTCACCATAGACAATTCAGCGGATTCCTTGGCATCGCCAGCTTGGACCCTTCCATCATCACAAAGAAAAACACACACTTTTTGAGGGGGAACACCCCTTTCCCCACCAAAAAAAGATAAACAATTCATGTGTTGAACAAGGGCCTTCCAGAGATCAATTTTTAAAATGTATGCAGACAGGTTTCTCATCCTCAGAGGCGGGCAATAAAGGAAAGCCACGCTTGAAGCTTTGCATGGAGAGTGTCAGATAGAAACGCGCATCCTGCCTCGGTTTTTCGCGCTTAAAGCAGGCCTATTGCCTCAGCCCCGTCACGCCTACAACTGGACTGGGGAAAGAAAACCAATCACACTACTGATGGCAGTCCAAAAAAAACCTGAACGGTGAACGGAAGAAGCGGGACTCCAGCGATTGAAACGAGCAGATCAAGAAGAACCTAAACATCAAAGATCATCAAAGGGCTTTATGAAATGTACTGCTATGTACTGCTTATCCTGCATTATATGGATGCAATGAATTTACATGTCATAGGCCAACAATCAAGGCCTATCATCCAAGTATACCCTCCTCAAGACTCTTTGGCTCAGTGATTGATATAAGGCTTGCCCAACATGGTCTTTGGCATGGGTTCGCCAAGATAGGCTCTATTTTCTCTTGCGTATGTGTTCGATACCGGCTGTGATCGAAGCCTCACGAGTTCGGCTCATAAAACTCTCCACCAAAGGGGGACGGCGGGGCTCAAGCCTCAAGCCACCCCATTCTAGCCAGCCTGGCCAAATGACTCTCTACTTCTTTTTAGCCTAAGGCTAATGCAAATCGCAGATATTCAACCATATTGAACAATCAGATCGCACTCTTGTCTCATAGATCCCGTATGTCCCCATAGTTCATGTGATGACACAGTGCAGATCAAACGAGATGAACCCCACAAACGGTTGTTGTAGTCACACATGTTGAAATTTCATTTGCAAACTACGCGAGGTGAACCAAGCGCAAACCTAAAGTTGTTGACAGTTCAACCGCTCAGTTCTTTTGACCAAGAAAAGTACAAATGTGTTTATCATTATGTTGATTGCCCCATTCAAACCCGATGTAAACGATGATAGTTCAACACCCCGGCCGACGTGTAAAAAGTCTTCAGGCCTGAGGGGCTGAGATATCTGTCTACTTTCTACATGAACTGTCAGTCTGCGGACCTTTTGCAGTCTCCAGAATGACCGGGGAAGTTCGTCTCAAGTACCAAACACCTTGGCGACCTTGACATGTCTTGGCACCTGAGTGTCATCCCATCTCCACCAAGAAATGAAGCAGTGATCACAATCCTGAAACCAGAGTAGGTGGCACTGGTGCCAACATGTCGGCAGATGGGGGTCTGTCTAGAACCACCCGACCTTGGGGGGGGCCCTTGTGTCATCTGAAAGCACAGTATAATCAAGCGTCTACGAGACCGACCGACGGTCGGTCAGGTCGTTCGCGACATGGTGAAGTTAGAGGGTTCCGCATGGTGGGTCACGACCCATCCGCCAGCTCTTCTTCACCCTAAATCCCGGCGGTCACGCCCAGAACATGGGGTGTGGCGCCAGAGCATTCCAGAACATTCTGAGATAGACTGCTTAATTGTATATTTTTTGTCAATCCAGGGCAGGGATTCAAAAATATGTTGACATATATGTGTATTTTTAAAAAAACATATATATATATATAGGTGCGTCTATCTATCCTAAATGTATATATATATATATACCCACTGTAAAAACAATTGATAACAAAGAGTCTACATGACATGGCCCCCATCCGGCCCACCGCCTCTGCGTCTGCCTGGCGACTCTCGAAGCTCCGCGATGCCTTGGCGGTTCACGAAGCTCAGGGCGGTGCTCCGCGCCAAGGCGAGCACCTAGGGGCTTCGGCAGCATGGGCTTGAGCCACCTGACGAATGTTAGATTAATACATATAAATGCATGTAGGCCTATTAATGTGTATATATATATATATTATATTACATATATAAATATGTCTAACACCATCACTACTGCCTTACCCCCGGGGGGGTCAAAAATGTAATTTACAATTTCGGATGTGTCAAAATGCAGGTTTTGGAAAACGGTGAAAATTGAACATACAGGTCTGATGTACCTCCATCTCACAAGACAGGGGTCAAAAATGTAAGTTACATTTTTGACCCTTGTGTGTGTTTGTTTGGCCTACCCCCCCTCCTTTCAGAGTCTCCAGAAGTAGGCCAAGACCTCTTTCAGGGGGGGGTCAAAAAAAGTAACATCCTCACATAGGCTACCTCGACCCTAGATCTTACAATTTTCACCCCCCCCCCTATAGGGCTATATAAGGCTATTGTTGTAAAATCAAAAAATGTAACTTACAATTTTGACCCCCCCGGGGGGGTCAAGCACCGCAAGGGGGTAGTGATCTGGCACCCACCCTATGTTTGTTTTGTACTGTACATTGCAACGTTTTCGTGATACTTTGGTATCATTTTTTGAAGTGATATCTCCCCAAACAGTTTACTGTTGGGGTTCTCTCTTCGGAAAAACCCGCCACACTGTCTGGCCGTGCCCTGGACTCTGTGTCCGGGTTGTCCTTCCCGTGTCCTCCTCTTGTCCTGTCCTCCTCTTGTCGTTGTCTCGTCCTCCTCTTTTCCTCCTCTTCTTATCCTCCTCTTGTCCTTCTCGCGTCCTTCTCTTGTCCTCTTGTCCTTCTCTTGCCCCCTCGTCCTCTTCTTGTCCTTTTTCCCCAGGGGCTCTCTCTTAAGAAGAAAAAACTGGCCACAGTCTCTGGCCACGCCCCTGAACCTTGTGTTTCGGGTGTTGTCCTCCTCTCGTCCTCCTGCTGTTGCCGTCCTCAGGCCGCGCTGGCGAAACCTGTCCTTTTCTGATCCTCCTGGTGTCCTCCTGAACCCTGCGTATCCTCCTGTTTGCAAAAACCGTGTGTCCTTCTATGTCCTTCTAGAAGTCCGGTTGTCGTTAGGCTGCACTAGCAAGCCCTGTGTCTGCTTCGTTCGGTTGCGCCGCTGTCTATGTTTCCACCACGTTGCCCCGGTATGTTTTTGCAAAGCAGCAGTTATACCGCCTTTCGATTATTGATATCATCCTTGAATTCTCTCATGACAACAAACCCTCGGTATTATCCTAGTATATATTTCTGCAAGCTGCCAGCAAATCGAAATTCAAAACGTTGACTTGACATAGAATTTATGACGCTGTTTCCTACGCTGGTGTTCTGTGTCGTGTGGCCATGCTTGTGGGCTCAGTCTGTGTCTCTGAATCACACACTGGCCACACTGCCACACCCCTGGTCCTCCTATCGCTCCAGGTGTGGGGCCGCTCTCGCGAAGCCTGTGTCCTGCTGTCCGCTGCCTGGGTCATGCTTTGCCTGGGTCTGTGTGTCATGCTTTGCCTGGGTCTGTCTGTTGCGCTTGTCCACATTGCCGGCCCCTTTATGCCCACGCCTTGGCCCTTTACCTTGCTCGGCCACGCCTCTAGCAACAATTTCCAATCCGAAGTCATCTTCAGAGTTTCTCATTACACATCCCTTGAGGAATCAGCTGACTTGACGCAAAAGATGCGGCTGAAACTGTTTGGTGAAATTTTGCCCTTGGTCCTGGTGTCCTCCGCCACTTCCAGCCAGCCGCCCCCTTCTTCTCTTCCCCGGTTCCTCGCGTCATTCCGTGGTGTCCCTCTGCTTTATGTCTTCCTCTTGTCTTCCTGGTCCCCGGTGTCATCTTATTGTCGTCCGGTTGTTTGGCTGTGGCCTTCTGCTGGTGTTCTCTCTCTAAACAAAGCCATTTTCGCCTGTTTCGAAGCTTGTTCAAGCGGCGTTCCCTGCTCTACTCTGTCTGTTCTGCTTGTTCGCGTTGTTGGCTTTTTACCACCACCTGGTTCCTTGTTTGGGTGATGTAGCCTTCTCTTTCTCCACCACTTTGCTCGG